CTTTAAATAGACCATTCTTTAAAGACCATTCTTCCCATTAGTCAGTGACTGCCAATGGGCTACCAGGTACAGCCCACAACCTTATCTCATAACCTAGGGCTTCTGACACCCATCCTGATGTAAATGTCTAGGCAGCTGGGGACTTCATTACTTTCTAGGCCATGCACATGCTAAATTGTAAATTTCCTGAGAGGACAGACTATTATTCACAGATACATGTATCCTTAGTAGAGAGCCAGATACCGTAGCTTAATAAATGCTTGTTGAAGATTGTGGGCATCCTTCATTATAGAAAATATGATAATAAAGATGATGATAGTCACAACATCAGAAAGGTAATAATAATAATAATAGTAAAATATCAATCAAAGCCATTCTTTGGGGCACTGTTCAATAGCCAAGTAAATTGTGTTCTCTAAACCCTCATGACATCCCCCTCCTACAGAGGCTGCCCTTATTCCATCTTATCCATAAAACAGGTCTCAGATAAATGCATCATCTTCCTTGGCTGATTGACATTTTCATTTATTCAACGAATGCTACTGAGGGTCTGCTGCACCTGAGAGCTGGAGGCGTCACCTCCTCCTTATCCTCTGTGATCATTTTCCTTCCTTTAGCCTAGCAGTAGAAAGCAAAGAGCCTCCTGATAAAGGAGGCACTGCCAGAGAATGCCAAGCGATAACAAGACAAGCGAAGCACGGTAGGGAGATCCACACTGACGGTAGTTGTCATTCCACACAGAGGAGCAGAGGTCCACTGAAAAGGTGGCAGTTAAATAGACCCTGGACCAGGAACAGGACTGATCCGTTAGGAAGAGAGAGGGTGACTGTTACAGGCAGGCGGAAGAGTGAGTGCAAAAGCCCTGAGGCAGGAGGCGTCTCTGTGTTCAGCTAATAAGAAAGTCGCCAGGGAGCTTGAGGGTATAAGAAAATGAGAGCTGAGAGCCTGTGCAAGTTCAGGGCGTGTTGAACTTTGTGTGTGTGACCTAAACCCTGGCCTCTTCATTCTGATTCAGAGGGGAAGCAATTAGAGTGTCAGAGCCACGACACCATGGGACCTGCTTGGAGCTGCTGCTGCTTCCTTAAAGAAAATAATCATCATTTTTATTTAACTCAATATATCTAAAATATTACCATCTTAGCCTGCAAACAATATAATTTTTTTTTTTTTTGCACTGAATATTTGAAACCCAGAAAAGACTTTTTCAGTTACAGACTATCTCTGTTTGCAACAGCTACAGGTCCAGGTCTTAGAAGCCACATTTAGCTACTGGCTACTAAATTGGAGGTCTGAGGGTCAGTCTAACAAGATAGTCCTCCTTTCACCTATGATCTCAGCAGTGTCAGAGGTAATGACTAAGAGAAGCACCAGCTTATACCCGTTCTCGGAAAAGGACAAGGTCTAAGGAGTGTTTGACGTCCTCATGTGACTAGGTAGGTGTTGTTTATTGGGGCTGAGCCAACGGGGACAACACAACCCAGAGGGTTCAAGACTCCAATGCCTCTAAGAGAGGCCCTCTGGCAAGGGCGTGAGGAGTGATCGGGTCGCTTTTCAGAAAGGAGGAGCAGATCACAGGCTGAGGAAATTAATAATCATCTGCAGTGTAAGATGTTCATGGATTGCCCTTGGGGAGAGCTCCAATTGACTGACAGCCAGATAGACGCATGTTCGGTTCCATGAAGCAGGGTGGCTCTGGAGTGCAGGTGGTCAGTGAGAGGTGAGGGAGGGAAGCACCAACAGAACAAGTAGAGAAGTGAGAGAGAGACTTTCCTGGAGCTCAAACATAGACAGCTCCACAGAGATGAGGGCACTGACCACAGTCATCCAGGTCAACAGTTTTGCAGTGGTCAGTCAACCCAGGCCTGAGAATTAGCCAAATATGTTGGTGGAAGGCAAGGCACTGGGCTCCTCATTGAGAGCAGGTGTTCTTACAGCTGCAGTGAGCAGGTGTTCTCACAGCTGCACTGTAGTACTTCTGGACACTCACCTTGGCACATTCCCCCCAGAGCCATTTACTCAGACTCTCTTCATTTCCTACAGCTCCCGGCTCCCTCCATCGTGGAGAACCCCACTTTCTCTGAACTCACCTAACCTCTGCTTTGTTTCAGAATTAATCGGTGGACTGGGTTTAAGTATTTGTTGAACAGATGGATTAATAGAAATATGCCATGCAAACTTACCCAGAGTAAGACCAACGGTCATACAAAGTGTGGTCTCATCACTGCCACATCTAAAGGCAGCACACAATCTCTGAACAAGAGTGAGCCTGCACAGTTCCCTGGAGGCAGAAACTCAGGAGAGCCAAGGGCTGATGGGGTGCATGCAGCCATGCTGGGTTGGCCCAGAACCAGATAACTCTGGGCCCAGCTCTGATGCCGAGAGAGGTATGGCCCTCAGCGAGGCACAGCACTCCTCCAGGGAATAGTCTCTTTGCCTAGTCAATGAACAGACTGAATCTCACTACCCCAATGCTCATCCCACTATCTTGGCTTGTTCTTGGGTTAGAAGCTGGGTATGGGATTAAGAGCTACTTGTGTTCTATCTCTCTTCTTGAACTCAGAGGACAGACAGTGGGTCCTAGCAGATACACAGTAAGTATTTTATAGTAAAGAGATCTTAAGAGTTCCCGTGTGTACATATTCCCTCGAATTACAAAGGATCATGACCCAACTGTGCCACTAATTTTGAGCCTTTGGCCCTGCTGGGTTGAAGAGAAGGAGATATGTGATCTAAAAACCAAGCCAAAATACTAGAATATTCCTGAAAGTTCTAGTAAAGAAAGTAGGGGATTTTAGAAAGTAGTAGATGTATCAGATCATGGAGAGTCATTTTCACCAAGTATAGACTTTGGACATTGGAGAATTCACTTGTCACGCCTATGGAAGAGCATGAAGTACATGCAGGAAATGGTGATAAGAGCCCAAAGTGGGAAGGAAAAGGTGGACAGGACTATGTCCACAGGCCTGTACTTGGATGGTTCCTTTATGAGAGACGGATTTTATGAAACCCATTCTCTTTTGGGTACCTCTTCTCTACTAGGGCAGGAAGCCGGGGTGGCATAACCACAGAGGCACATATCTAAGAACAGTATGTTGAGTACTGGCCTGGAGTTGTGGACAGGGTGCCAATGGGGTACGAATGGGCTCCTCCTCCCCCTCTGCCCTCCACCCTTCTCACCTGGTTCTCTGCTACACCACGACCACTGGCTTCATAGCTAGCAGGGCAGAGGATTCCCCCCCCCCCCCCTGAGTGAGAGGCTCTGCTGTTCTGGAGGTGGTCTTTCCACAGGGCTTGATCCCGACTCCTGGTTTTAGTTCTCTCCCGGCTCAAGCCTGGCCCCTAGCATGCCAACCTCACATCAGCCAGGCCGCTGTAGTGGGCTCCTTCAATCCAGATGGAATGCTTCTTTTATTCTTATTCCCTTCACTGGTATGCCCCAGCCTTTTGGAATAAAATTTAATATGTATGTCATGCTATGTATATTAAATTGACATTTATTTTAAACATATAGTATGTAGATGCTGTATATTTACATTTATGTTATAAATATAAATAAATATAATTTATTTATTATCAGTGTATTGTATCTACTCATCACAGTTCTCTGGGATTGCTGCCTGACAAGCCTATGGGCTCTTCTATAGAGATTGCTCCATTGTTAATCTTAGTCCTCTCTTTCCTACCACTCTCTAGCAGTATTTCCATCCACAGCATTTGTTTGTTTTCATTAAAACACATCTATTTCTCACCACTGACAGCTTTCCTTTGGCTCTACCTTGCCAAACACGATCTGCCTGGAATCTTCTCAGTGAATGACTCCCATGACCGCCCAGGGAGAGGCTTTGGATCCATTTCTGCTTCACTTTCTGGCCTTTCTAGCCCCACTGGTTCTTCTCCACCCAGACAGTCATTTTCATAGTTGCTTTTTCTGCCCAGTGTCCAGAAGTTTACAGTTTCTCATGAGTATCTGATATGAGTGGCCTTAGAAAAGACCCCAACATTTGTCTTCCATAATTTCCAAGACAGAAAAATGAGGCTAAAAACGATACTAACTTTATAGGGTTTCTGAGGGAATAGAAACAGATGCAGCATTCTGTAACATTTGTGATATTTTCCACGGGGATGAGAAGGGTCAACAAATAAGCCTTTCTAATAGTGGCCAGCTTCTAAGGTCAACGTTTTGTTAGAACTAGGAACAAAACTGTAGTTTCTTGAGCACTCGCTCCATGCCAGGGACTCTCCTGAGCACCATGCCTGCCATCGGACCTCCACGAGGGCAGTGTGTGGTGAAACCCTTCCGAGATAAGGAAAAAGAAGGGCCCTGGGGAGAAGAGTGTGGTCCAGGTCAAGAGTCAGAGCTAAAATTGTCACTCTGGGACCTAGCTGCATTTTAACTTAGCCTTAATCTTGTCTCTGAGGGCCATGTCAAAGGCCCGGAGAGGAAGCACTACACTCTACAAGGAGGGAAGAGAAGGGGGATCTTCCCCCATTAAAGGAACAGTCATGAATATTCCTCCTCTTCATCAGACTTCCTCCTCCTCCTCAAACCCCATATGCATGGCAATCCCATCTGAGGCAAGGTAAATGGTTGATTTCTGAGCCTAGACTCCTGGTTCTCTGCTATAAACAGACATGGACCCTTGGTGCCCCTTTGCTTTTCTCTGTGGCTTTGTGATACCCAAAGGAAAAAGATCCTGCTTTGGGGAGGTCTTCTCCATTTTGAGAGGGGTCTAGGAAGTTGCTGGAAGCAAAACTTAGGAAAGCAGACCTAGACCCAATTCTTCTACTTCACAGTTTCACTTCTGTAGAGACACATCAGACAGATGACTCCTGACTACAAAGAATGCCAAGTATTAAGTAACTGAAAACCTGCATTATTGTTATAACTGTTGAACCTTATAGTTACCCTTAGGCAGTGTACATTCCTCCTGCCTACCAGGGGACAGGTTCTCCACCTTAGCATAACCAAGAACACGGACGTCATCTGAAGAGGGACTCACCAGAACTTAAGGCATTCTCCACTTCCTGCATGATCAGGAAGGGGGTGGTGGTTTCAGACTCGCAGACCACTTTGCCAGGCTCGGCATCTTGGGGTGACTTCTCCTTGGGCACCGGCTCTGCTGTGATAGGGGAAGTGGGTGCGTGACTAGAGCTGTGCCCCTCTGTTGGGGACGCGGGTGCCTTTGGAGCTTCCGTGGGCTGGATGTTGGCCACAGTAGAGCTGTGGTTAGGGGTAATGGAGACAGAAAGAGACTCGGGTGGGGAGGTTCCCCGGGATGTGGATGTTGCGGTTGGAGCCTGAGAAGACACGAGCACGGTTGAATGTGACCCAGTAGTTGGCACAGTTGCTTCAGGACTGCCACGACTGTGTTCCTCGAGTGTGGGTGTCAAGTGGGCGGCACCGCTTGTTGAGGTGGACTTGGCAGGCGGGGAGTCTGTGCTGTTGTCATCTCTCTTCAAATCTGGGCTGGTGACAGCCTCGTCTCTGGAGGCGGTAGAAGTGTTCTTGTGGAGCTGAGATGTCAGAGATGTAGCAGTAGCATGGAGAACAGAGGCATTGGGGGTGCCACTGGCCACAGGCGTGGTGGCCATAGCAGTGTTTTGCGCGGAGGTAGTCCAGGAGGCCGTAGGTGCGGTAATTTTTGTCATAAGAGAAACAGGCAAGGGTGTTGATGTTGGTGAACCCTGTATCCTCAGTCCTATGAAAGAGTTAGGACAAACTAAGTTAATTGCATGAAAAGTACTACACACACACACACACACACACACACACACACACACACACACACACGTGTGTGTGTGTGTGAAACAGGTGACCGATTGCACAGCTATTTTACAGTGTGGTTTCAGGTATTTCTCTCTCTCTCTCTCTCTCTCTCTCTCTCTCTCTCTCTCACTGTGAGGTGACACTGAATTGTGAAAGTGGCTTTTAAAATCTGCTCTTCTCACTAATCACTCCCTTGATTTGTGACTCCTGGTAGCAACTGGCCTGAGGCTTCATAAGAGCAAGTGGTGGTGGATCAGTCAACTCAAGACCAGCAACAGGTGGAAGGAAATAGTCTTGTCTCCTGCCGGTTTAAACAGGTGTCCTCGGAGGGTGAGGCCCTGTGCAGCAACTCTAGCATCTGGTTGCGTGACTGAGTGTCATTTCACAACACCTGTACAGAGGGACGCCAGGGTGTGTGTGTGTGTGAAAAGTGAAACTGTTGCCTGGTGCCTGGCAGGAGTGGGGCAGTCTCAGAGGTGCCTTGGCGACCCTTCTCCTGCTTCAAAGCCAGAAGGGCCATGGAGAGCCTGCACCCTCCCTCTGTCCCTTCTGCATTTATGCACCACGAGGCAGGGCATGGTGGCTTTATAAGCACATTTCCCGTGGAAGGAAGCGGAATTTCAGAAGAAAGCCCTCATCTGTGGTTTGGGGGTATCACTGAGATTCTAGCCTGGCGTTTTTATAATTATGATTTTGATAAATCGTATTTGCCTTCATATTTTGTAAAGGCTAGTTCTACCTCTTCCCTTACCCCATCTCCCTTGTTGCTAGCCTCCATTGGTTCAGTCACTTTTATTGTTCTTCACTTTTAACTGTTTAACCATTGACTGTTTTTGCATTAGTGCCCTGGCAGACACTGGACTCATACTCTCACCCTCTCTGTGACTTATCTCTTGATTGCCTCTCTCTACCATTCATCACACTCCAACCAGCTTTGCTTCTGGCATTTTCCATCTCAGTATGTGGAACTCCTATTTGCAAATTTCTCAGCTAAAGAGAGAAATGCCATCCTTTATCTCTCACACCCCAAATCAAGTTCTTTCATTAGTCCCTTAAATTATAACCTGATTCACCACACTTCTCCTCCTTCTCCTCCTCCTCATCTCAACATTTTTGAGTCAACTAGTCAAGTGATGGTAGGAATCTCTTCAATGACCTTCTGACCTCTGGGTTTCTCCCAGAGGCACCCTCTGTGTTCTTTTCACACACAACCAAGAAAATCTTTTAAACCCCAGCATTGCTGTATTGGATTGTCTCTGCCCCACTGCCCTGCCTGCTTAAAAGCATAGCTTCTTCTAGCGTAAAGATATCTCTTATGGACATCCTATGACTATCTTAGAGAATGACACATGCACTTGTTTTCTGGGGGAGTGGGGTGGCTTGGGGGGGTGGTGGCTCTGACTAAATACCAGTGACTGGCTGCTGAACACGATGCACCTGGGATACAGAAGGCGAAAAGCCCAACATCACTGCGCTAAGCAGGTTAGTTTCCGGCGAGGTTACTCTTCACCATTCTGAAGACAGTCAGAACTTGAACACCCACTGTCTGACCCTCCCAGGCATGTTTTGCTATAGCCTCAACATGGCCAGAAGACCTAACTCTACCAGCTGCCATTGCAGAGCAAGCATGAGCCCCTGGGAGCCACCAGAGAAGGTTAAAAAAAGCACAATGCTCCATCCAACTTCCCTCACCACAGCGGAGCCATTTTACTCTGGAAAACCAATAGTAAGTTTTGTATTTCCTTGAGAAAAGTGGAAGCTACTAGAACGAAGACTTTAAACTCAGTTGCCTCTAAGTTAGAGATGAGCCAGCGTTACTTTAAGACAGAGTGACGTTAGCAGACATGGTGTGCTCTGCCTGGCTTGGTCAGACTCAAGTTTCCACGTTGCAAGAAGATCTGACAGATTGCTGTCATGAAAAATGCAGATTCTTCATTGAAGAGAAAACTGCTTGTTCCCACGTGCATTATCCTGAATAGGTTACAGTGTTCCTATTTACACCGCTTTGATATTTGAAAAGACTGGGCATTTGGCTTGGTCCCTGGTTTCCTACCTTATGCGGAAAAGGGGTCTGGGGCTGAGGGACAGGACATTCAGGCATATTCTCCCACTGAGGGGAGTGGTTATGAGGCGCTGTCAACTGGAGAATCTGTTCTGAGCCTCCTGACACATCCATGTTTCACTGCCCTAACCTCTGCCCCTCATCCTAAAGTCCAAGAGCTGCAACCTGCGCAGGTGCCAGAGTCTCGGGCAGCATGGTTTCAGGATTGCCCACTCCTTGTTTTCTCCTTGTCCCTCCATGCCCTCATCTTGTCAGGTACCTGAGAAAAGATATGACAGAACTTTGGCAAATGTGGTGAAACTTAATAAAGGTGCAGTAGGCCTTCTGCGGCTGCCAAGGGAAGTTGCTGGTTGTGGTCTCCCGGCAGACGCCTGGGCTGCAGAAGGCTTGTGTATTAAATGCTGATGGTCACTCTTTGTAGCAGTAGTTCAGCCTCTGAGGAGCTGGTGACATGAACACACACACACACACACACACACACACACAAATGCACTAGCACACACACATGCTCACATACATGAACACATGCACACTGCTGCCCCACTGGAATGTGTGAGTGCTGAGTGAAAGGCCTAGGTTGAGCACTTTCTAGGCATCATATCCTTTGACTTCCGTGTAACCTTCACAGGGTTGACGCTTTCCACCTCAAGTTTCACAAACGATTGGTGCTAGATTCAGAAAAATAAAGTAAGTTTTCTAAGTTGAAACTTGAACTTCCACCATGTTGCTCAAGCCAGACCATTTAACAACTCCATGGTTGGAAAATGCAGGGGTATTTGTGAATTGTGGAGACCACAATTTGGAAGAAAAAATTTCCTCTTCTTTCCCCTAACATACTGGGAGCCATTAAATGATCTTAAAAATGGTATCTGGTTTCATGAGCTCCTCTCCTTCACTTCATTCTCTTACAGTCTTCCTTGTGCCTTCAGTATAGATCCTGGACTCTTTGGCACAGTGTGTCTCCTCATGGGCCATGAGAACCTTGTCAATCGATCTGAATCACCATGAGTTCCTGAAATGACCCAGGACCACCCACCTACATCCCTTCTTTGGCTCTTGTCTCCATATTCTGGCTCCATCCTCTCTGATTCTAGTCTTGCCACCCCAGTTCTGAGAAAGGGAGCCCAGGCTCCTCTGTGAAATATGCTACATCTACATAAAACCTTGTTCAGGCTCCATATAGGCCCAAATTGTGGGGTACACTCTGCTATGTGCCCATTTCTTCTGTGTTTTCTCCCACCGAGCTGATGGGACTGAACGTCGTCCTTAATGTGTCAGTAAATAAAGATTGAGGAAAACAAGGGTTTTCTATTTTTTGAAGAAAGAATGTTTTCTGATTTAAACAGTGGGTTATGTTAGAAATATTCCTCCTATCTTCCTCTGGCTTATTTATTAGTACCATAAAAATGACTAGCTAACATGAAATGTCAGATGGGTTTTAAACAGACCTTTGTTATTTATACTGACTTATGATTTTTTTTTAAGGAATTTTCTTGTAGCCCAGGGTGGCTTGCAATCACTATATATCTGAGGATGACCTTGAACATTTATTTGATCCTCCTGCCTTTAGTCTCCAAGCACTGGGATTTCAGGCATGAGCCACCACGCCCAGTTTTCTGACTTTGTGTAGTGCTGGGGATTGAACCCAGATCCTTGTACATGTTAGGCAAACATTCTACAACTAAGCTACATACATCTCCAGTCCAGGATTTCTTCTATGTTAATAATGATATAGGCCAGAGTCATCGCCTCTTGAAATACTATCTTATCACTTGGCTTAATGCCAAACCCATCTCAATATCAACACATTAAATAGACTGAAGATCAGTAGATAATAGGGGATGGGAAGAGACTGAGTTTGCCTTCTGTATCAGAGCTGTCTACATATTCTTTAGGGTAAGTAAAACTAACCTAAAAGGTTACCCATGTTGTCTTTGGGGGATGTACAGGGAACCCAATGCTCTAGAAGTTTCATGTAGTGTCTGGAGACCCATTGCTGGAGAATGGTCCAGCCATAAGTCTAGACAGAATGTGTGTGCCCCTAAGCCATCAAACTCCATTTTAGAAGATACTTGTTTTTAGTAGGAAAGCCACATTCCCTTGAGGTCATTGCTTGTGGAAATGAGACACCATTTGATTCAAAAAGTGGGCAGAGAGTGTACGCTGTGTCAAGACTAATTTAGGGTCTGCAGACTTGCTGTAAGACTCAGCTTCTCCATCCACATGGTCAGCATTCCTGACATCATCAGCTCTCTGTCCCTGCCATGCATGCTATTATGCTAATGAGAAAATAACATTTACAAAGGATGTTATACCTGTTGGGGGGAAAATTCTATTTTCTTTTTTAACATCTGACTCTATCAGTCAAGGATCCACCCAAACTCATTTCTTCAGGGTTGAGAAAACCTAAAGTGCTCAGTCTCAGGAGGCACTACTGAGAAAGAATACCACGACGTGATTGGCAGATGCTTCAAACGCTAAAGACAGCATAGTGATGTTCTTCAGAGGACAGTGGAAAGAAGGAACATGGACACAAGAGGTGGGATGTTTGAGGCTGAATGTAACCATTGGCCAATGCATAATAGGTAGTATTAAAGGAGAAAGAGAGCTCCAAGCCTCTTTTGGGTATCAGGAGGTGGTTTTAGGGGTGGTGTCATGTTCTCTGCTACTTTCTTTCCATTGGCTCAGTCCTAACATTTGTGGGGCTCTGGAGAAGTCTGTCATATTTCCACACAGAAAATGTTGACTTAAAACATTGCAGGGTTAGAAATGAAGACATTTCTGTGGCCAGCCTGGGTTTCCTCCAGGGCTCTGTAGCCCACTCCTAGGTGATCCCTGCACTGGTCCCTAAGTCAATGGGATTTAGATGG